TAACGATTAAACATTGTCAACTGTAACAATTTGATCTGCCAAAACTATAGTCCTGCTTTAAGATCCATAAATTTCACTCACATTTCCCGTACAAGGCTGAGCATTAGTTATGACTATATATTTTTAGCTAGCTATTAAACATTGTCAGCTGTAACAATTTGATCTGCCAAAACTATAGTCCTGCTTTAAGGTCCACAAATTTCACTCACATTTCCCATACAAGGCTGCTCAGTTAAACAAAAATGGATAAATCCTAAACATCAATGGGAACAAGATCTACTCCTTTACTAATTATGTATTTTTGCATACAATGCCTATGAATAAGAACAATATTCTACTCGATTCGATTGACCTTAGAGGAGAAGATCTCCGCAAAATTTCCAGATAACGTGATCGCTATAATACCGAATTTTAAAGAATATGCATACAAGTTCTACACCAGAACATCTAAGAGAAATCGAGACCTCTCAGTCAACAGCCATGGCTTCCAAGCCTCCACTAGCATCATCTACACCAATCTTATGCTCCTCAGCCGTGATTCTCATTTCCTCCATTAAACTCTTCTGTTCATCCTCTATGGTATTCTGCAACTCGTCCACCTGCAATATAAGTTGGGGATTTCAACCATCCGGTATAAAGGTTATGGAAAAATAAAACGCAGACAAAAATTAGATACAATAATGCTTACACTGGATTTCAGAGTATACGAGAAAACCTTACACTTTTCCATAATCCCAAGAGAAAACAAACCTATTATTAGCTTTCTGCTTGAACAATATTACAGCAGAGGACAGCCAATTTTTGCATTATCAGAAGTGCGGGAAGAGAACTTTTCAGTTGCAGGAATACAATTTCTAGAGATTTAAAAGGCCTCACCATGCCCCCATGCATAAACCTCCTTTTTCCCCAAAAAGAATAAATTAATGAAAACATAACACAAACACAACAACAACAATTATAGGAAAAGCAAAGGAAAAAGAAAATGTACAGATGTTGAAGTGAATCCTCATTAAGCGAGATGTTAATTTAGATAAGTGGTGCATGCAGGTTGAAGTCATGTCCTGAATGGGAAGTTAAAAACACAAACAGCATGGCCCTAGAAACCACCCAAGCACCCAATACGCCACAACTCTCTATTCCCCCAAAATAATTATTGATAAACGAACTATTTTTCCAAATCCAGGAGCAGCAGGGTGAACTTTGCTTTTAACTTGGCATTTTCTAGGCAGTCTCTCGTTGGATGCATGTTCCACAAATCTTCATGTAATATTTCACCCAGTGAAGCCCTTGGATAAAAGTGCAGAAACAAAACCTTTTAACGCTACGATGTAATGCATTCAATAATGGCAAACAGTGAAACAGAGGAACAGATGACCATTAAATCTCTACCAAAATAGCTACAGCTATAACTCTCATGAAGATGCACTTCAAATTATCCATCTTCAGGCCCCTAAGAAGCACGGATACGGACACGGACACGCGACACGGATACGACAAGACATGGACACGGCGACACGTCAATTTCTAAAAAAGTAGGACACGACACGCTGGGAACACGTTAATTTTTTATATGATTTTTAATTGATATTTAAATAAAAATTATATATATATATATATATATATATATAAAATATAAAAGAAAACCTAATTCTAGCCATAATTTTTCTCTCATAATCAAGAAGACCTGATTTTCATCTCGAATTCCCTCTTCCCACTTAATAGTCTAACCATAGTTTTTATTTGTTTCGTCACAACCCGCTACCTCCTACTTCTTCTTCTTCTTCTTTTTCTCGCCTCCTCTCTTGTCCTCCTTCTCCTTTCTAAACATTGTTGCCTCTTCTTCCTTCTTCTTTGTTCACCTATCTTTATAAGTTTGGGGAAGTACGTGACTCTTGGGTTCATTTTTATTTGGTTTCTAGAGAAGAAAGAAGACCTATAGCTTGGTCTTCGGTTGATGAAGAAGAAATAAGAAAACTAGGTAAAAGGAAAAAAAATTAAAAAAAAGACCCTCACGTGTCCCAGACGTGTCCCCAGCGTGTCCCATTTTTAAAAAATAAAAAAACAAAAAATTAATTTTGGACACGTGTCCGACACCGACACTTCACCATTTTAAACGTGTCCGTGCTACCTAGTCAAGCCCTCACAGCTAGACAAATGCTTCATGAAAATCCTCAGGTAGAAGTTTGAATATACGTAGGATAGTGGCTAGGATAAACAGTCCCTTGTTAAGGATTTGATTGTTAAAGCAGATCAAGAAAAACCATTTTACGAAAACGAAATCTCTCTTACAATTGTAACTGGTTGAGAGCCACCAAGTCTATTTGAAGTTCTAATCACATAGGTATCAGTATTATTATTTATTATCCAGAGGTTGAAATTTTTTTTTTTTTTAAATAACTGGAATTC